ATAAACAAGAATGGAGGGGATTAAAAAAATGGAGGGGATTAAAAAGAATGGGGGATTAAAAAGAATGGGGGATTAAAAAGAATGGAGGGGGGATTAAAAAAGAATGGAGGGGGGATTAAAAAAGAATGGAGAGGGAGATTAAAAAGAATATATTGCAATTAGCCTCCTGTGTGCTAGACCAGCAGGCATGGATTATATGCCCAAACAGCCTGGCACATACCTGGCCTTTAAATGCTATTTCAGATTATCGTTATTTAAAGGACCACTGTAGGCACCCAGACCACTTCATCTTAATGAAGTGGTCTGGGTCCCAGGTCCAGCTAGGATTAACCCATTTTTTTATAAACATAGCAGTTTCAGAGAAACTGCTATGTTTACAAATGGGTTAATCCTTCCTCCAATTCCTCTAGTGGCTGTTTCATTGACAGCCGCTAGAGGTGCTTGCGTGATTCTCACTGGGAAAAACACAGTGAGAGCACGCAAGCGTCCATAGGAAAGTATTGTAAATGTTTTCCTATGCGACCGGCTGAATGCGCGCGCAGCTCTTGCTGCGCGTGCGCATTCAGCCGAATGGGAGGAACGGAGGAGGATCGGAGGAGGAGAGCTCCCCGCCCAGCGCTGGAAAAAGGTAAGTTTTTACCCCTTTCCTCTCCCCAGAGCTGGGCGGGAGGGGGACCCTGAGGGTGGGGGCACCCACAGGGCACTATAGTGCCAGGAAAACGAGTATGTTTTCCTGGCACTATAGTGGTCCTTTAATGTCTTGCTGTGTAGCTCTGTCTGCTCACTGTACATCATGGCTAATTTTTATTTAGTGTGCATTGGAAGAGGGGTAGTCTTATACGGCGAGTATATCCCAAACTCTATATTTTAACTGGAAAAGTTGGGGGTCGTCTTATACGCCCAGTCGTCTTATACGCCGGAAAATATATATATGATCTAAGTATATATATATATATTTTTTTACACTTTTTAACTTTTTTTAATTTTATTTATTTTATTTCCAGCCAGCAGGGGGACCACCTGTCATTACAGGCAGCCCCCTTGCTGGCAATACAGGAGGCAGCTATCCCGGCCATGTGATTGTGACGTCCTCGCAAGGACCTCACTCTCACATGGCCGGGGGGTCTGCCAGGGGGTCGGATGTGCCGCCGGGGGCTCCCTGGGAGTCCCCCCAACCGCGATCGCTGGCGTGGGATAAGTAAAAAAAAAACGGAGGTCGTACTATTACGCCCGGCGGCGTTTACAGCCGCCTAAAATAGGGCGTAATAGTACGCCCTCCGGTCTTAAGGGGTTAAACTGACAGGCAGTCTCCTTGCTTCTGAAAAATAAAATAAAATATATTAGCAAAAAAATAAATAATAATAATATGTATATATGATATATATATATGATATATATATATATATGATATATATACACTGCTCAAAAAAATAAAAAGGAACACAAAAATAACACATCCTAGATCTAAATGAATTAAATATTCTTCTGAAATACTTTGTTCTTTACATAGTTGAATGTGCTGACAACAAAATCATTAATTAAAAAATGGAAATCAAATTTTTCAACCCAAGGAGGTCTGGGTTTGGAGTCACACTCAAAATTAAAGTGGAAAAATACACTACAGGCTGATCCAACTTTGATGTAATGTCCTTAAAACAAGTAAAAATGAGGCTCAGTAGTGTGTGTGGCCTCCATGTGCCTGTATGACCTCCCTACAACGCTTGTGCATGCTCCTGATGAGGTGGCGGATGTTCTCCTGAGGGATCTCCTCCCAGACCTGGACTACAGCATCCGCCAACTCCTGGACAGTCTGTGGTGCAACGTGACGTTGGTGGATGGAGCGAGACATGATGTCCCAGAAGTGCTCAATTGGATTCAGATCTGGGGAACGGGTGGGCCAGTCCATAACATCAATGCCTTCGTCTTGCAGGAACTGCTGACACACTCCAGCCACATGAGGTCTAGCATTGTCTTGCATTAGGAGGAACCCAGGGCCAACCACACCAGCGTATGGTTTCACAAGGGGTCTGAGGATCTCATCTCGGTACCTAATGGCAGTCAGGCTACCTCTGGCGAGCACATGGAGGGCTGTGCGGCCCCCCAAAGAAATGCCAAGTCCACACCATTACTGACCCACTGCCAAACCGGTCATGCTGGAGGATGTTGCAAGCAGCAGAACGTTCTTCACGGTGTCTCCAGACTCTGTCACGTCTGCCACATGTGCTCAGTGTGAACCTGCTTTAATCTGTGAAGAGCACAGGGCGCCAGTGGCGAATTTGCCAATCTTGGTGTTCTCTGGCAAATGCTAAACGTCCTGCACGGTGTTGGGCTGTAAGCACAACCCCCACCTGTGGACGTCAGGCCCTCATACCACCCTCATGCAGGGCCGCCTTTAGCGCGGAGCAAACGGGGCAGCTGCCCCGGGCCCAGTTGCTCCTGGGGGGCCCCAGAGCAGCTGCCCCGTGGGCCCCGCGATTTCAGCAGCCCCCATGTACGCGGCGGCCGGCGGTGCAGCCGCACCGGCCCGCCAACTAAGGAGGCCCCCGGGTGGCCCATGCACTAAGGGCCACCCTGTGGGCATGTGGCAGAAGGGGCCCGGTCGGGCGCTGTGACGCTTAAACAGCCCGACCGGGCCCCTTCCTGTACCGGCTGGGAGGAAGTACCGCGTGTCACTTCCTCCCACCGGAGATAGCCTCGCGGGAGGAGGAAGGCAGGGAGGAGGGGAGTTCCAGAGAAGAACTCCCATCTGCCTCAGCCTGCCACTGGACCCCAGGGAAACCACCCTCCATAAAAAGGTAAGAACCTGGAGGGTGGCTAAATGTAGATCAGTATGTGTGTGTGTTAGTATGTCTGTGTGTGTTAGTATGTCTGTGTTTGTGTGTGCTAGTATGTCTGTGTGTATGTGTTAGTATGTGTGTGTGTGTTAGTATGTTTGTGTGTGTTAGTATGTCTGTGTGTGTGTTTTAGTATGTGTGTGTGATAGTATGTCTGTGTGTGTGTTAGTACGTGTGTATGTCTGTGTCAGTATGTCTGTTTGTGTATGTATGTTAGTATGTCTGTGTGTGTCTATGACAGACATACTGACATACACACACAGACACACTGACATACACACACACAGAGACATACTGACACATACACACACACAGACATATACACACACAAACATACTGACATACACACACAGACATACTAACACACACAGACATACTAACACACACAGACATACTGACATACACACACAGACATACTGACATACACACCCAGACATGCTGACATACACAGACATACTGACATACACACACAGACATACTAACACACCACACAGACATACTAACACACAGACATACTAACACACACAGACATACTGTGTGTATGTCTGTGTGTTTGTATGTCAGTATGTCTGTGTGTGTATGTCAGTATGTCTCACTGTGTGTGTGTGTGTGTGTGTGTGTGTATGTCAGTATGTCTGTGTATGTCAATACACCTGTCAGTGTATGTGTCTGTGTGTGTCTGTGTCAATATATCTGTCAGTGTATGTGTCTGTGAGTATGTATGTGTCTGTGTGTGTATCAGTATGTCTGAATGTGTGTCAATGTTTGCCAGTATATATTTTTGTGTCAGTGTATGTGTGTGTCAGTATGTATCTGCGAATGTTTTAATGTGTCTGTCTGTATGTCTGTCAGTGTGATTGCGGGTTGGGCGTAATGGGGAGGGAGGGTGCAGTGACAGGGCCCAGGAGGCCCAAGAAAAGGCTTTGCCCGGGGTCCTATTCATATTATAGACGGCCCTGCCCTCATGGAGTCTGTTTCTGACCGTTTGAGCAGACACATGCACATTTGTGGCCTGCTGGTGGTCATTTTGCAGGGCTCTGGCAGTGCTCCTCCTGTTCTATTTGCACAAAGGCGGAGGTAGCGGTCCTGCTGCTGGGTTGTTGCCCTTCTACGGCCTCCTCCACGTCTCCTGATGTACTGGCCTGTCTCCTGATAGCGCCTCCATGCTCTGGACACTACACTGACAGACACAGCAAACCTTCTTGCCACAGCTCGCATTGATGTGCCATCCTGGATGAGCTGCACTACCTGAGCCACTTGTGTGGGTTGTAGACTCCGTCTCATGCTACCACTAGAGTGAAAGCACCACCAGCATTCAAAAGTGACACCACCTGCAGAACCACTCCTTTATTGGGGGTGTCTTGCTAATTGCCTATAATTTCCAACTGTTGTCTTTCCCATTTGCACAACAGCATGTGAAATTGATTGTCACTCAGTGTTGCTTCCTAATTGGACAGTTTGATTTCACAGAAGTGTAATTGACTTATGCAATGGCGAAACCGCCACCTCACTACTCTGAGCAACAATGGCGACCGCATCCAGAGAACGGACCCAAGGCCCGCATACGGCCTATCCGAGCGGCATGGGAAGGCGGCCGATCCCCCTGCCGACTGGAACCCACTGCGTCGGAGGCGTATTCGGAGCATCTTCTCCCCCCTGCTGCAGTTGGGGGTCATCCCGGCAAATGCAGCAAGCAGCCCAAAGCAGAGGTACAGGAGCCACCAGGCCATCGAAACCCAAAATGGTGGAAGCCATGAGGGCCCAAGCACCTGAACCCTGCCTTCTGCCGCTATCGGAGTGGATAGATCGACTTCTAGGCCGCAGGGGTTCTAGACAACCGCAGGGGTTCCCCTGGCAGGGATCCCATCAGCACCAGCTTCAAGGGACTCCACACCGAAGCCCGCAATGCCGACACAGACCCGGAGGGGGACGTGGATGGCAGGGAGACGGAGGCGGGAAACCCGGCACAGGCCTCAACACTACAGCTCACGGTCACGGGTGAGTCACCCAAAACCTCAACGGGGGCTGGCCCCAGGACTCCCCCTGCTCCGTACCCCTCCTCAGCAAGAGCGGCAACAGGGGACACTGCTGACAGCGGGCATTCACACACCCGACTGCTTCCAAGCGCCCCTCTGCAACAGCCTGAAACTCCGACAGAGCATAATGATGTCGGACGGCGGCAGAGGGCCCTGCACTCAACTCACCTACGCGAAGCACACATCTCCCGAGCTCCAGCCCGTGCATATGACACCAACGGGGAACACTACTCACGGGCCTCTGGAAGGCTCTGGCGAGACGGACAACCGAGGAGTTTAACCTCCGGAGTGCTGGCAGTCAAGAGAGACCCACTGCAGAGCGATCAACGACTACCCCACAGACTGGGCATTGGCTGAATCGGCAAGAAGCCCCGGACTGTCATAAGGTACAGGCTCAGACGGCATTGCGGACCCTGTTTATCCTGGTGAACTCCCGATATGACTTTGCTTTTTTATATGCCCCTCACATGTCACCTTTAATCAGCCTCTGGGACTGATGCCTGAACACACTCCATGCCTAACAACCAGAGCAGTCAACTATTGTGCTTTTACAGAACTCTTTTCACTGCAGCTGAGCACGGTTCTTCATTATTACATACGTCTTGCATTCCCTGGTTTGTTGTTGTTCCCTGAAGCTCTGTTTTGTCTAATCGCTGTCCCACTTTAGCAGGCTTATACATGCATTGCCAGTATTTTAGCTAGGTGAATGTACTCTATTATTATTACTAATCGAACATGCCTGTGTACCATCCCCTGTGAATGTTTACATGGTGTGTTCAATAAAAACATGGCAACATTTCATTCTTTGCCTACCTTATGCTCTCCACGGACGCAGAAAAAGCGTTCGACCGGGTGAGGTGGAGCTTCATGAGGGCAACGCTGACGGCGATGGGTCTGGGGAATGGCATACTCACCTGGATAACGGCACTCTACACCGACCCAACTGCCAGAGTACGGGTAAATGGAGCGCTCACAGCCTACTTTAACATCAACAATGGCACCAGACAGGGATGCCCGATGTCCCCCCTCCTCTTCGCCCTCACATTAGAGCCATTCCTAGACAAGATCAGACGGACACCAGAGATCCAGGGACTCAAACAGAAAGATCAGACACATAAGGTGGCCGCATACGCGGACGACATGCTCTTTTTCGTCGCAGACCCTCAGAACACATTGCTGGCTCTCCTGCGTGAGTTTGAGCAATACGGACGGATATCAGGGCTTAAGCTGAACCAAGCAAAATGTGAAATACTGGCAATACGCAGCGCGAGGAACACACAGGAGAGACTCCAACGCAAGTACCCTTTCCACTGGTGCAAGGAGCAGATGCGCTACCTGGGTATATGGCTCTCCCGTGACCCGGGCGAGACATACGATAGGAAGTACACACCCCTCCTTCGCAACGTACTGACGGACCTGACGAGATGGTCGTACGACCACATCTCTTGGCAAGGCCGTATAGCGGTGGTCAAAATGAACATTCTCCCCCGCCTTCTCTACTGCTTTAGCACCATCCCTTGGCACCTACCCCAGGACTTTTTTACCAAGCTCAAAACAGCGGTAACGAAATATGTCTGGAAGGAGGGGAGGCCACGACTCAAACACGACAGACTATGCCTGCCCAAACCATGGGGAGGCCTGGCTCTACCGGACTTTCAGAAGTACTTCCAAGCGACAGTGCTCCAGAGGACTCGAGAATGGCACACGGCCCCCACCAACAAACTGTGGACGAGATTGGACAGGGAAAGCACAAACAGAGTACTCCACACATACATCTGGCACCGCTCGACAGGGGCCGCACAAGCTCTGGGCGCAGAATCACCAGTGACGCAGACGCTGAAAACCTGGACCACCCTGCGAAGGAACGCACACATCTCACCACAGCCGAGCCCCCTGATCCCCCTAACATATAACGAGACCATAGGAGGGGGACTACACGTGAACGCATGGCCAATACACAGAGAAGAGGACTATGTACCCCTGAGCTCGGCCCTGACAAACGCCAGCCTGCACAGCCTCCAAGACTGGGCTAACACGGATCGCCTGACGATAATGCACCAATTTCACTACGCACAGCTAAGGCACTTCTACCACAATCTGCCCAATAGGGGAGCAGTACATAGAGAATGGACCTGGTTTGAACATTTCTGCGAGAACTCTCCAGAGGCAGATGGCAGAGTGTCGGGCATATACCAAGAACTGCTCACAGGGGAACTTACCAGAAATAACGCCTTCCAGAGGCAGTGGGAGGAACTGACGGGCAGAACCTTCACAGACGCCCAATGGGCACAAATTCTCATACTACAACACAAAAGCTCGATAAGCACCAGGTACCAAGAGGTGAACTACAAGCTGATCTCCCAGTGGTACAGAACACCAGCAAGACTGCACAGGATTTTCCCAGGGGTCCCGGACACATGCTGGAGATGTGAAACACAACCAGGCACGCTGCGCCACATTTGGTGGGACTGCTCTGGGATCAAGCCATTCTGGGAAGAGATAAACCGGAAATCACTACAATTCTGGGAGACCCACCAGACTTTAGCATAGAGGCCACGCTCCTACACTTCTTTACAGGACAGCTGGCACAATACAAACACTCAATCCTACGACATCTGCTTAATGCAGCCAAAGCACTGATCCCAGCGAGATGGAAGCAAACCCAGCCACCCACTAAAACGGAATGGCTCCAGAGAATAGAAGAGATCCACACAGAGGCGAGATACACTGAAATACTCGGGAGGAGAGACAAACATCTCGAAATGTGGACGCCATGGTACCTGTACACATCACAAGCGAGGACAGGGGGTGGGACACAACAGGGACTCTAGCCAGAAAGAACAACACGCGCATTTCAACATAGCCTCTCTCCCCCCCCCCAGAACTGTCCCGATAGGCTAACTCGGGAGTCAGGATAGACCCATACCACATCAACCCCATACCTTTCAGCTCCCCCCCACCCCCTTCCCCCCCCACCCAACAACACCACTCAACCTATCTCTTCCCTTCTCCCTTTTTTCGGGCGAGGCCGGGGACCACCTGGCGCAACAAGGCCACAATAATATTGGAGCCTGAGAAGGCACCACGGTTGCCCACGGGACGTGGGACCCGTGAGACATCGCATGATAAAGTCGGGAGGAATCCACGACAAGGGAAACTCCTACACAAAACAGCAAAACATAAGACAACACATGATGGTTGACACAACCAAACATCGAGACACCACATCACCCCCACTCAAAGGGGGAAAATACTCCAGACCCATCACAGATACCAAAAGTAGATAGCGACTAGAGAGCGACATCAAACGCCGCCTATAAGGAAGCAGGATGACAGTGATGACTAAACACACCACTGAGCCCCCCCCCCTCTATAACGGCACTGCCTCGTAAATGAGGAATGGGTGCGGACTCAGAACAAGAGGGTAGATGACCCAGGAGAGAACTCACTACATACCTAGGTGCGGCAGATGCTAGGGAAAGGGCAGACAGAAGAGGGAGACCCAGACCTGGTGCAAGACTACAGGACCCTGTCCCATAAGACAAACCCCTACCTCACCCGTTCACGTAAGTGGACGTGACCTGGGACCAATCGCACTATTAACCATCTGGTTGGGGAACAAATGCAGAACCTGTCTGTCTTAAATGTTATAGGCTAGCAATCCATCGCCTACACCAGCGCTATATAAAGATGCACCTTATACTGGTGGTGCTCATGTAAGATGCAAATAGAGACCTGCGAGTCTCACTGATAACATTCATATTGTTTCCTGTTATTATCTGAACTGCTAATAAAAGCTCTATTTATAAAAAAAAAAAAAAAAAAACCATTTCATTCTTTGTGTGTTATTAGTTTAAGCAGGCTGTGATTGTCTATTGTTGTGACTTAGATGATGATCAGATCATATTTTATGACCAATTTGTGCAGAAATCCATATCATTCCAAAGGGTTCACATACTTTTTCTTGCAACTATATATATATATATATATATGTATGTATCAAAATATACTTAGAATGAAATTATATGTGTGTATATATATATATATATATATATATATATATCCATATACATAATTACATAAATAATTTAAGAAATATACACGTAGACTTCAAATATATAAATATATATATATATATATATATATTTAAATTCTACATGCATATTTATGTAATATTTTTAAATAAGTAATTTTATTGATTGCAATTTGAGGGACCAGCCTGACAACCCAAGCCGAAAGTCCAGAGAATTTAATTTGCTAGCACTGTAACTAGCGCTTTAACCCCTGTAACTTTCCATGACACCCTAGAACCTGTACATGAGGGGTACTGTTTTACTCGGCAGACTTCGCTTGGCCCAAAAACGGCACACAAACGGCACTTTCACTGATGATGTCATTATTGTGAAATGTTTTACTGTTTTAAAACACTCATATTTGTGTTCAGCGAAGTCTCCTGAGTATAACAGTATGCCCCATGTACAGGTGTTTTTAGTGTTTTTGAAAGTTACAGGGTCAAATATAAGGCTTGATTTTCAGGTTTTTTCACATTGAAATTTGCCAGATTGGTTATGTTGCCTTTGAGAGAGTATGGTAGCCCAGGAATGAGAATTACCCCATTATGGCATACCATTTGCAAAAGAAGACAACCCAAGGTATTGCAAATAGGGTATATTCAGTCTTTTTTAGTAGCCACTTGGTCACAAACCCTGGCCAAAGTTAACATTTATAATAGTTTTTTTGCATTTTAAACACACAAACAAATATAAATGTTAACTTTGGCCAGTGTTTGTGACTAAGTGTCTACTAAAAAAGACTGGACATATCCCATATTGAATACCCTAGGTTGTCTACTTTAAAAAAATATGTACATGTGAGGTGTGATTCAGAGATTTATGACAGATAACAGTGTTAAAATGTAACTATTGATATATATTAAAAATATATATTTTGAAACAGCAATGTCCTACTTGTATTCATAGCCCTATAATTTGCACAAAAAAAAGCTAAGACCATGTTAACATTGGGTATTTCTAAACTCAGGACAAAATTTAGCACAGACGTTTTTTGGCAGTTGTAGGTGCGTAACAGAAAAATTTGGTATATAATATGTGTGGGTACAGTAAATGAGTAAGAGGAAAATTACAGCTAAACACAAATACTGCAGAAATTTAGAAACTGCCCTGGTCCTTAACTAAGGGGTTAATAGAGTGTCTGTGCATATTCATTCTGCCATTTAATTGCTGGGTGGCTTCCCCAATGTAGCATCCTAGGTGGCATTTG